ACTTCGATGATTTTTGAGATAGCAGAGACTGAAAATACAAGAAAATTTTGAATCGATGTGACCTATAATAATACTGTTTATTAAGACCTGCACTAGCAGTAATGATGATACTGAATTACAGGCTTGGTAAATAATTGGAAAAGGATAAAAACACTTACATTTGGAATTTTACAGTTACAAAATTTTGGAATCTATAAGTTTGCACACGATTGGTGCGAAGATTATTTCCAGATCTTAAAGACATGCCATGACAAGAGGTTACAACTCGATCATTAATTAGAGAAAAAATTGGGTTGTCTGGTTTGACGCTGATGTCCCTAACGAATTCCTTACAAATGACTTCTCATTGCGCCTTTGCTCGAGAGTTTTCAAATTGGCTTTCACTAACGGGTAGCAGAGAGATATTTAGGTAGGCCAGCAAAAACAACAGAAGCGTATAATTCTAAGGTAGATCTTATGAGCGAAGAATAGACTCTAATCATATCAGCCGGCTGGGCACCGCACTTTTTTAGTTGACGTAGGTTATGTAATCGTTTATTGGCTTTCTTCACTATAAAGTCACAGTGCACAGTCCATGTGACCTCGTTCAAAAGCCAAGCTTTCTCAATGAAAACAGCTGAAAACAGACTTTCAAGCACTTCGCGGTGCATAATCCTCGTCTATCAAGTTTACTTGGGCAATTTCTCGATGCAATAGCTCCTCGGTTGAATTGCTGGAAAAAGAAGAAATTTTTAATTCTATTGAGGGACATCCACTTCGAAAAAGTAAACAAATCTCACACCGGCGGCCGCGGCGATAGAAGAATCAGTGAAATTTGTGAGTAAACTACTGTAATGATAATGTATTTGTGTGTGAAAATAAACTGAATTTTTGAAACAAGGAGCCAAAATCCCCGTCTTTTTAGCCGACAATTACTGAAAATATGATGATTTCCGTGTCATTTTACTCATATCGTGAGATAAGATATAGAAATGAAAGAAAGTTATAGTGCTTAGAAGGAGGCAAAAGAGATAAGATAGTTTGAGAAAAGAGGTGCTATCAGATAGAGGGAGGCAACGGGCTGCAAGTTGACCAGTGAAACTTTTCCTATATACTTTGAGTAATTCTTCTACATAATCTACGATGTAAAAGCCATATGATAAACGAGTTATTAACCTCGCTTGCTCGGTCTGTACGGGAAAATATCATACCTCGGTCTTTTATGTACGGACTGTCGTACTGTCAAGACCTCGGTCTGATATTTTCCCGCTAATCAAAGACAAACCAAAAACAATAAAGTTCGAAAGTGATGGTTGGGTAGGTTAAAATGGCGGGAAACAGGCTTATTAAGATCATTATATGACGAATACTATAAAAAAGTTCACGGATACGACGATCTCCAAGACGACACGGCCATTACATCTCGCCGACATAAAATAAATTGCAAAGCGAACATTTTAATGCAATAGACAGCATTAGAGGTGGCACATTCAAAGTGATCAGTGATTCTGAGTGATGAGTTAGGAACAACAATGGAGGTGTGCGAGACAATGTACGGACAAGTGTTACAAATTTTACGTGAGCAACAAAAAGTGCCAGTCTCGATCGTTATTAGAATGAAAAACACCTTTGACTACGAAAGAACGAAGGTTACGAAAACGTTTATTAGAAAAAAGGGGTCGTTCGTTAAAGATGTGAGAAGTGTTAGTTTCAGAAGTGAGTAAGAAGTAATTACAATTGATAATAGGCTTAATAGAACTGTTAACAGGATGATACGTAAGAGTTAAACGAATACGGTTATAAGGCGCACGAACCTTAGGTGTGAGAGCAGTGTTACGATCAATGCCAGAGACTTTACGCAGAGCTTGATCAATGACAGTGGAGGATAGTTACGATTATTAAGAAAAAAGGAAGGCATATCCATGCATTTGTTAGAAAATCGAGTCCAAATTTTTAAAAAGTTAAATCGAAAAAAGGATTTACAAACAAAGTTTGTACAGTATATTGGTCAATATATGTTGAACTTAAAAAGCGTACGATTTTTTTGATATTTTTTTTATTTGTGGAGTTATTGCCATTTGAATGTAAAAATTACGAATTCTTGATGTGATCAATTTGATTTTTGACGCCATAAATTCATAACGAAAATCTAAATGCAAAAAYGCTCAAACGGTTTTTTACCTCACTATAGCCCAAACAATATCCATTGAGGTTTTCTTAATGCAAAAGTTTTCCGAAATAGCGTCTCAAAGCCAAAATCGCGACTTTTAAGCTTAAAAGATTAATGATTTTTAATAAGTAATATATTAACGTTTTTGCTAAACCAACTTAAAACAACAATAAAGCCGTATCGGGAAAACGTTTTTACTAAAGATAATGTATCCSAAGACCGAAATGCATTACAATTATTGCTCCCTCTTTAGCCGTTTTTATGGTGTTAGAGTAAATAAATCAGCTCTGYAGTCAAGAACTTAAATGCCAAGCAATCTAAGTTTGGAATAATCATTTTGTGATGCAGCTAACGTGAARTCTGCATTTAAAATATCCATTCCCAATCCGTTCAGTACCATCGCAAGGGTTTAAGATGGATAAGTCGAATGAGCAGCAATGCATTTCGCTCTTGGAATGCACTGTGCAGTATTCAACGTTCACAGAAATAACTCATAGCTGAATTTCAAGTACTCGATTCGACTCTAACAAAGACGCCATTTCTGGCATGAGATTCATACCGGCCACCATCTTAAGCGGCACTTCTGTTTCAGGACAGCGCATGAACTTGTACTTTGTCAGAACATCTACCAAAGTGATCTTGAGTTCCAATATAGCAAATCTCTTGCCAATGCAGAAACGTGGCCCTTCTCCAAAAGGAAGGAATTGGAAGGGATGTCTCGATAGTTTGGCAGAACCTCGAAAACGCTCAGGATCAAACTTCTCTGGATCGGGCCACGCCGATGGATCATGGTGCAGAGCGTGTATAGCAATAAATACAGCCATACCTGCTGGAATTGTTGATGTCTCGTTGAGTTTGTAATCTTTATTGCAAGATCTATCGGTTACATAAGCAGGTGGGCTCATGCGCAGCACTTCACAGAGGACACATTCCAAGTACTCCAAATCATTGACTAGTTCGTAAAGTGGCTTATCAGGGTTTGCCTGTCGCACTGTAAGGATTTCGGACCTCAAACGATCTTGGATATCTTGATTTAGAGCCAAAAAGTAGGCAGACATGGTCAAAGCATTGCTTGATGTTTCATGACCAGCGAGCAGGAATGCTATCGATTGTCCAACCATTTCATCTTCAGTCAGTTTAAGAGTTCCATTAGGGTTTTTGGCTGAAAGCATGATGTCCAATATATCTTTAGTTCCGCGAATTCCTTCTTCTTTCCTGATCTTCAAGATATTTCGACCCACTTCTGCGAAAAACTTGCAATGGCTCTCAAATTTTAAGTAGATTCGATCCCAAAGCTTAGTCAAAGGGACCATAAGCATGTAAATCAACACAGCAGGCTGTTTGATAACCTCTCTCGACTTAACCATGAACTCATTGCAAATACCCTCGGTCTGTACTGGAGACTCAACTCCGAAAGAGGTGGAAAGAATCACCTCTAGCGTCATGAGACTGAACCAAGAGTAAATATCGATGCTTTTTCCTGAAACACAATAGGTCACATAAATTGAKWAACCGAATCTCTGTTCATCTTCCTAAAACTGAATCCAACAGGGATAAGGACAAATCCGTTTATAATGATATTGGTCAGTATTTTTTATACCGCTGTTTTTTTTTGACAGCAGATTACCAAACACAAAAGAAAGCACGAGAAAATGTTGTAAGTACAACAGCGCTAACAATCAATACTTTCCCGAGTACCCCTGTATTCCCAACTGGCTTAAACGTCATAAGCCTTCTGGGAATACAGGTTTATTTTAGTCTCAAATCGTGTGGAAAATGCAAATTGTCAAGGCTATTTTCAAGCTATCTGTTAAGTTTGGTAAGATCTTTGTGCAAGAGAATCTGCTGTCAAATAAAGAAGCGGTTTTTCGCATTGAATTCGAAATTGGAATATTTTCCCGCACGCATCTCCCGCAAGCAACATGCATGTTCCCTTATTACGTTTAAGTCATACGTCGTGTTATCGTCGCGACTGTCAACTAGACAATACATTTTACAGTTCTCGTCGCTATCATGAATTAAGGTAACTAAGCCTTCGCATCAAAGCAGGACAGCAGTTGAGCTTTCATTGATAGAGAGCTGTAAATAATTGTCTTAGGGCTGATCAAAAGCTCTCACGGTTTGCTCAACTCCTGTCTCGCTTTGATGCAAAGTCTTGGTTAGCTTCCGAGATGGCGCTTGGAACTGCGTAAAATGGAGTATTGGAATCCAAATACCATCTGTACGGCGTTGATTCAGACGTTGATCGAAAAGGTCCGATAACACGCAATTGCAGTAACTATTACGTTTAATCAGCGTCGATGTTTTTGCAGTGCAGCGCTCAACTAAATATTGATCGCTTCAAGGTGGCAGTTTTTCGTTAATATCCCGAGGCATAATCATGGGAAGGATTGGAGATCCTATAGACCCTCAACAAGCTCGGAGATATCAGCAGCAATCTTGTTACTATGCAAAGTGTTTTACCTGTATCAGCAATTCCCTGCAGTTTACTCATCAAAGTCTTATTTGACCTCTCAATAGCCGGGACCATCAGCTTAAGTTTTCCAGTAGTGAACGTTGGGCTTAAAACTGACCGCACTCTTTTCCAGTCATCGTCTTGTAGCCAAAACAAGCCCTTCTCTTTAGCAATTGGAAAGTGCCGATGGTGATTTGTAAAAAAATG